TGTAATGTTTTCAATAGTTATTTTATTATTAATTTTAGTTCATTATTATTTAGTAATATATATATATATATATATATATATATATATATATATATATATATATATATATATATATATATATATATATATATATATATATATATATATATTAATTATTTCGGAAATTTGTTTTTGAATAATTGTTTTTAATCGTTATTGAATAAAAAATAATAATGATTTTTTTTATTTTTAATAATTTCTAGAGTAAACAAAAAATATTAACATTGATAAACGCAAACCCATGTTAATTACTAAACAACGATTTTGTTTCGACTAACAAAGAAAAATTTAAGTTTTTAAATATTTTTTAAATTTTTAAAAGCGTTCAAAAGCGTTTAAAAGCGTTCAAACTTGCGTTTTATAAAAATATAAAAAAGTTTTGTCTGCTTTGTGCATATTTTTGATACGTAGTTTAGAACGCGTTCGCTAGGAATTTAATTCATAAATTTTTTATGTTATTGTAAAAATATTTAACTTTTTAAACAAATCACAAAGAAACAGAGCTATAGAGAAAAATCGTTTTCAACGATTAAATCTTTTTTTTTTTAATTTTAGGAAATTAAAAAAAAAATTAAATTAAATATAAATGTCTTAACTATGCAAACTCTTTTGTTAATTATTCTTAAAACAAAAAAAAACAAATACTTCTACGCCAAACTTTAATCGTGCAAACTTAAAAAAATACTCAACTGAAATAATTTAAGTATATTTAATAATTTGAATCGTATCTGTTTATAATAAACGTTCGTAAAAATTTGTTTATTAAAAATTAAGTTCTTTAACTTATAAACAAACTCAAAAGTATTTTCATTCTACGTATAATTACAAAACTCTTTTTTTTTTCGTTTGAAAGCAATTTGACTTAATAAAATAAAAAAAAGAATAAATATGAGGTAATCTTTGTTAAGAATAACGTTAATTTATTTATTGAACTATATTTTTATTTTTAATTATATATCAACTTAATTAAAATATAGTAACATGTTAAAATATTTTAACATGACTTGTCTTATTTATAAACCGTTGGGCAGTTGCCCTTACGGCACTATTGTTTTTGGATAATATTTTATTTTGATGAAGATCACATAACTTACATTTGATTTTAATAACGTAAGTCTTCTCTTTTTCTGTGATCATCGCATCGGCAAAGCATCGGCTAAGTCCCAAGATTTAAAAGTTTTTAAAGTAAATCTTTTGTCCTTCAAAATACAATCCATATTCGAACTTTAAACAATTTAGAGATAATAGAAATATACAAGGTTTTTATATACTAGTTTGTTTTGTTTTATAAAGAAAAATACATAATCATTAGTAAAAAATGGAAACTGTCATTAAACTAAAACGTGCCTTAGTATTTATTTAACGGAACCTGTAATGTGCGCGTGCATAATAAAACCTCCGTTATATAAATATATTCAACGTAATATTAGTGTCATCAGCGGATGTTGTAGTCTACTCATGATTTCTTTACCTTATATTATAACTTGATTTATGAAAAAAAAAACTTATTGAATCGCACGCAGAAGAATTTTAACAAATTGTCTTCATTCAAATATTGCGAGTAACAGGTAATTTTTTTTTTCTGTGCCGACCCCCTCCCCCCGCATAACTTAAATTATATACTAATAAACTAATAAGAAAAGCTATATACTATTAAACTAACTATAAGCTATATACTATTAAACTAATAAGAAAAGCAAAGACATTTTTTTTAACATCTCGAAAAAATGTCTTGATATTTTTGTTATCATGATAACAAAAATATTAAGACATTTTTTGAGATTTTATTAAAAAAAAATGTCAATTCTTAATTACAAATTTTTTTGCAAATGTTTTTTATTATAAATTCAGTAAAAAATTCATAAAAAATCTATTATTACAAAAAACTTTTATATTCTGTATTAATAAATATGTAATATAGATTTTTTAAAAGTTTTTTTACTAAAAACTTTAAAAAATTACTACTTTTTATTTAAAACATTGCAAAAAATTTGTAGTTAAAGATTGACAAACAATTTTTCATGTTGCTAAATATTTGGATAAAAAGTTTAGCGTCAATTAATTGCTATAAAAAGGAAAGATATATCGCAATGAAAAGTTACAATAATTATTTTTAAAGAAAATTCTTTTTTTTAATAAATACCTTTACATAACGTTATTTAAAAATTAATGTGGTTTTTTTGAAAATTAATTACTTCTTTTATGTTACCGCTAATTTAAAAGTTAAAAAATGATAAAAAGTAGCTTAACCAAAACAGCTCTACGCGTACGTAAAAAGCGCTTAAGGCGTACGTAAATCGCTCTAGGCGTAACGCTTTAAAACAAGGCCTGTATATATATATATATATATATATATATATATATATATATATATATATATATATTCTACAATTAAGATAACTTCAAAATTTTCATTTTGGGTTCCTTTGAAGATCGTGGGGTATAGGGATGGCAATAGTTGTTAAAAAATATATTGGCAAGGGTTCTACAATGTTTTTTTGAAACATTGGTAAATCCATAGAAGTCAGATACCATCAAAAAACAGTTAGATAAGACGACAGACAAAAGTGTAAAGATGATGAAATAAAATGTATGAATAAAATATCCAATGGCAAATGTTATCTCCAGGCACACTTAAACTACCACGATTAATATCTCTGACATAATCTCCAAACTCCTCAAAACAAAATAATGTATCTTCAACTGGATGATCTTTCCTATTGACATAGCCAGCAATGTAAACCATAGACATTTTAATTTCTTTAGACAAATTGCTTTCAATAACTGGAAGATTATGAAATACATTGAATGAAATATCATCTTGCAATACATAATTACAATTGTCACACAAATGGCTTGATGATACTTCTAAATCATTAGCAGTGATACCAATATTTAGAAAAAGTTTTGTTTTTTTAATGTCGACTTTTTGTAATATTTGCTGAACATTTATAAAATAGGTACAACCTGATCCTTGCCGAAGTGTTCCAAATGCTTTCTCAATTGGGTCACTAATGAAATGTCTAAGGCAAACATACTTATGACTTGTAGTTAGTAAATGTTTTACTAGTTCAACCATCCCACGACTTGTATGGGAAAAAGCACGAGAAGTATCTTAAATTTTTTAGTCTATGACCTTGTTTTTCAGGAGCCATTTTTTTGACCATATCAGCCAAATTTAAAAGAAAGTTCAATCGTTTATCATTGTTTGATGAAAAAACAGCACGATATTTATCTAGTACAAATATCTTCATAAAGTCATTTAACATTAACAATTTTTTAAAATTTGATAAGAATAGATAAAAACACTGTGGTGTCTTCGACATTTTTTATGGATGGATGAGATTTTATAGCAGCTACAGTCTCATCACAAAATACTCTTAAACAAGTTGACACATTTTGACGTTCAATTGGTTTAGGAAAAACTGCTGTTTCATTAAGTTTAGACAGTTTCACAATAGCATCTTTTTCAAATAGAAAAAGATGCTATTGTGAAACTGTCTAAACTTAATCTAAAATCTGACCATTTTGCAGTTCTTGAAATACTTTTGTAAGTAAAGCATAGTTTTTGGGATTTTTCTGTGAGCCAATTGTTGCGAATAGATGAACTTAAGTTAAATGAACAAAGTCATACAGAATAAAAATGTTATCATTAGTGCACCAAGTACATTCCAAAAAACTTTTTATTTATTTTGTTATTGTCACAATGAATAGCAACAACAGAACTACCACATTTTTTTATCTCTTCAAATGTTTGCACTGTTTGATCGTATTGAAAATTAGCATCTAAACCTGTTACTGGTAATGCTTTATACAAAAATTGTTTTCCATCAAATAAAGAACAAATCATTAAACCCAAAAAATGTTTTTGCTAACTCATTTGGGGAATTTACAGATTTTTAAAAATGGTACCTCCTTGATATGTTAACTGTGGTTTAACATAAATTTCATCAATTAGTAGAATAACTTGTCTTTGAGATATAGAACATTTTTCAAAATACAACTTTAAAAAATCATCATCTCCAACATTTCTAACTTTAGATGTCAACCATGTCATCAAAGATATACTTGGTAGTTCGTAGTCATCACGTAATCGAGAGTAAAGAATTCTTGACAATGAAAAGGACTCAAATGCCCTAGCAACCATATCAGGAGAATACTTTTTTTCACCAACAAACACTAATGAGTTCATACTTAAAATCTGTTCAATAATAATATTTTTCTTATAATTGATTGGTAAAGAATTCAGATAGTGTATTGCAGCACGGAGATGGCTAATACAGTCAATAATATTCATATGATTGTAAGAATAATGTTTTATGGTGCACTTAACACCACAGTGATAGCTATCAAAAGATAAATCATTTTTTATTTTCAAAATAAACTTTGGAACACCCAAGTTGTCCAATATATCAGCAGATTGAAGATGTAAACAGTTTTCATTAATACTTGGTATTATTAAGTAGGAAAAAGATATAGTTTTAGACATTATTTTATTACACAAATCTTCGAAAAAAGAAATTTTATCAGCTTTCACAAAAGCCTCCATTTCATCAGGCAAAGTACTTCTTAAAGATGGCAATGATTTAGTACTTGGTCTTGGTGGTGCATCTGGTGTCGAAATTTGACTTGGATTTACACAAGAAAATACAGATGGTGGATGTTTTAGTCTTAACTTCCCGTAAACCTTTTCAGACTTTTTAACACCGTAGTTACCTCTGCACCCAGTGGCACAACACTTAAAAACCATATTCTTCAAATTTAATTATTTAGCTCTAAAAAGAAAACAAATTTAATATACATAAAATTTAAACGTATCGCATATTGAATTAAAAACCACGTTCTTTTCTTAAAACGCGCCATATTACTGAAAATTTATAAAATTAAAACTCGCCTACAGTTATTTTTAGTCGTATGTTTACTAGGCCTGCCTATTAAAATTGTAATAATTTTTTTTTCAGATTAAAAAGTTAGTGTATGTCTATTTGGTGCGCTATGCAGAAGAGCAACAAGATCTTGCATTACTTTCAGTTGCTACTTTTCAGAGGGGATTAAAGGTTTGTAAGTTTGTTTTATAAGTTTTGTTTTATTTTATCTTACAGTAAATATGTCATTACTATTTAATGAATATGCATATCAGGTACAAAAATTAACTGTACAAAAGTTTCATGGTTTGTCTTCCTATTCAGTTAACTTAAGAGAAAATAAAAATAAAACCATAAGGTTTCATCCAGGTTTTTATCCTAGGTTTCAACTTTTTTTTATCTATAAAGGATGCATATTAAGGCTAGTTACATATATATCTTTTCTTCCATTATTTTCTTAGGTTCTTCATTTTGCTGTGATAACTTTATCTCAAATGACATTCACAATGACATAATAAATTCTAACAGTTTTTATTACTTGCTATTTTGACTTGATAAAAAATAAAATTGTTATTGTTTTTTTGTAAGGATTCTAATCAGCTTATTAGAGCAAGTGCATTACGAGTGTTATCGAGCATTCGTGTACCCATGATAGTACCTATTATGATGTTGTCATTGAAGGAAGCTGTAACTGATTTGTCAGCTTATGTCCGAAAAACAGCTGCAAATGCAATTCCAAAGTTGTATAGGTAATTTTCTTTATCTTTATTAATATCATCTCTTTTTATTACACAAGTATATATTGATTAATATAAGTTTTTGGCTTACAAAAAAACAATATATATATGTGTGTGTATATATATATACATATATATATATATATATATATATATATATATATATATATATATATATATATATATATATATATATATATATATATATATATATATATATATATATATATATATATACACACATACATAAATATAAACAATGGTTCACCTAATTTAAACAATCAGCAGTCTTCAATAAATATTACCTTTTAACTGAAAAACACAATTAAACATAAAACAACACTGTTGTTATAGCTCTATTTATCAGGGTTTTTTCTAATTTATAGAGGGAGAGAAAAAAATTGTATTAGAGGTGGTACTAAAATTTTAATCTCTCCTCTACCATAAACAACCAAAAAAACTAAAAAGTTTTTTTTTTTATATTAATAGTGATTTTTTTAAACAGAAATAAAACAGCAAAAAAATTCTCAAATTGGAGACAATAAGAGTTTCTATGAATAATGGACAGGGTAATATTAACTGAAGTTCAACTTCAGAATCAGATCTTAAAATCAGCTGAATAAAATTGGAAAATTAGTTTATGCCTTTCTGTGAATTTCGTTGCATGATTTTTATGAAATGCCCTATATGTAACTACTACAGTTTGTTGACATTCATACTGATGAATGGCAATTTTTTCTTGGTCTTTAACAAATTTATTTGTTTTATAATAACTTTAAATGTGGTTCATTACAGCTATGTTGAGAGAAATTTTGTAAAAATGAGAGAAATTTTAAAAAACAGCTAATGTTTTGAATAGTAGATTGAAATTTTAAATAGCTTCAAAAAAAGTGAGTTCAGTTATTATTATGAACTTTAAAAAAGAAAAAAATTGAGTTCAGTTATTAAATATATTTAATTGGTAAATTTTTTTTTTTTTGCATTTTCTTTTATTTTTAGTATGGATCCAGAGCAAAAAGATGTTTTGGTTGAAATTATTGAAAAGCTTCTTCAGGATAAAACTACGGTAAGTTAATAAAAAATTTTATGCATATTAAGGACACATAAACATGCAATAAATCCATATTAAAGGAAACTGAAAATATAATTTTTGTATTTTAATTTACACTATTTTTAAAATATTTATAATATGGTATGGATAAGTAAGGGTAGTTATCATATATTGTATTAAAAAATCATATTACCTAAATAAGTGTAAATATAATTAAATATAAATATAATTTTTTAAAATCTAAAATTATTCTTCATTGCAAGGAAAATGGAATTAATAGAAGTTTTTTTTTAGCTTGTTGCTGGAAGTACAGTTATTGCATTTGAACTAGTTTGTCCTGAAAAAATTGATCTAATTCACAAAAACTTTCGCAAGCTATGCAACATGTTAATTGACATCGATGAATGGGGTCAGGTTGCAGTGATAAATATGTTAGTTAGATATGCTCGATCACAGTTCTTGGATCCAAACAAAAACATGGTATATAGTTATTTTTTGTAAAGCAAATAAAAAAATTCTCTTCTAAATTCATCATCGCTGTAAAACATGATGATGATTGGTATGATTAATAATATGGTGATACCCTTTTGTAAATAACTAATCTGTGTGTATTGTACATAAATAACTTTTTATATCTGTTGAATAAACAAAGGGCTTTCCCAATATAATTACAGGGTTTTGCAAAGTTATAAGTGCACGTTTGCAAAGTTATAAGTGCACGTTTGCAAAGTTATAAGTGCATTTATAAAATTAATTTTAACTCATATTTTAAATATCAATGGAAAGAAAAGTACGGAAAACAATTACAGAAGAAACTAAAAATACGATTATTTCAATGAGAAATTCAATGAAAAATATTCAATCAAGGAAATATCCAACGTTTGCAATTTAACTCGAAATGCTGTTAGTCGTGTTATAAAAAATAGTGATAATAATATACCCTTCACGTCATCTACAGTAAAAAGAAAAGAAAAGTATAAAATCAAAAGTTCTATAAATACAAACATTGAACAGACAATATAAATTCCATGGTCTGTAACAATGCCGTAGTTCAAAACACAAATTTTAGAACAACATGGTAAAAACGTTTCAATCTTGTTTGTTTCCTGTAAATTAAAGAAATTAAATTTGACACGAAAAGGATAAGCAATCATTCCTCAAGAAAGAAACACTATGGAAAGAATAAATCAGAGATCAATTTTTGCGGCAGATGTTGCTAGAATTGCTGATTCAAATTTGGTTTTTTTAGACGAAACCAGATTCAATAAACATACAGTGCGCTCACATGGCTATTCTCCAAAAGATACAAAAGTGTACTTGACAGTTCCTGCAAATAAAGGACAGAATGTTAGCCTCATGTGCTTAATTTCCAATTTAAGAGTTAAATGTTACCAATACAAAAGTGGCGCATACAATACACAATCATTTATTGATTTTATCAACAACAAACTAGTACCATTATTTGCAGTAAATCCAAATAAAATTCTTATCCTAGATAATGCAAAATTTCATAAAGCAGCTGCAATACTTCAATAACTAAGAGAAAAAAATATTACTCACAAGTTTTTAGTACCATACTCCCCTGAATTGAACCCAATCGGAGAGTTTTTTTCAATGTTAAAATCCAATTTCAAATCCACAAGAAATGCTAATCCCGTATGACTGTTGAAGAAACTCTAGAATATATTTTATCACCTGATAATAATTATAGTCAACAGTGCAATGCCTTTTATATAAATATGAGAAGATGGTTGGAAAAGGCAATAAGAAGAGAAGAATTTATCTAATTAAAATATTTAAAATGATTTGTTTATTTTTTTTAATAATGTATATTTTTGTCTGCTTTTTTAAATTATTATGATTAAATAATGTATACTATTTTTAAAAATTATGAAAGTATCTAATCTAGAAAAGTTATTGATATATAACAATATGCTAAATTAAGTAAAAATGTAAAGAACTTTCACTAATCACTTTTTAAAAAAAAAAAACAAAAAAAAAACACTTATTGATTGCTATGCTGTAATTTAATTTAATATTTTGCGCAATATTATTAAAGCTAAAAAAATAATTTCCATAAAAATGTATATGAACTTATAACTTTGCAAGCATGCGCTTATAACTTTGCAACCGTGCACTTATAACTTTGCAAACATGCACTTATAACTTTGCAAACATGCACTTACAACTTTGCAAAACCCTGTAATGAAGAGTTAGTTTAATTAAAGGGTTATAAAAAATGATATTTTATATGTATGGTATAAATCATATTGCAATGATCTTTTGTTACTACGGTGTTTTTTTTTATCAAAATTCTTTCAATATTTAAAAAAAATGTTTTTATTAAATTACTTGGATATTATCTAACTTCCTTTTTTCTAATTGAATAAAAGTTTGTTTGCGTGCGAATTATTTTAAACTTTTAACATTTGCTGGTAATTTGAATGTTAGTTGTTTGCATTTCCATTTTGAAAATGAATTGACTTTATTTAAAGTTATTGTTATAAAAGGAATAGTGAAGATTTTTAGAGAACGTTGATGACTTTGAAGTTGATTTTTTTTTGAGTGTGCAATTAGTCTTTAATGATTTTTATTTCTCATAATCAAATTAATTTTTTTTTTTTGGCTGTCCAAAAAAAACAATGACATAGTTAATGATTACATAATTAAATGATCAAAAATTGTGATATCTGGAGATATTTTTGCTCTTCAAATTTTTAGTTTATTAAAAATTGTATACACTGTGTTAAGAGTCCATGTATCACACTTCTAGAATTAATGAAAAAATTATACATCAAATTTTCGACTGCAAAAATAACAACATTCAAAAGTTTGATATTTTAACTTATTATTTTTTAGCCACCAGTTAATACATGTATTATTAATTATGGTATTTTTGTATTGTGCCAAACATTATAACCTGGTTTTCGTTAGGGGAAAACTTTGAAGATTTATTTATTTAAAATTTAAATGTTTTAAATTAGACATTAGTTAATTTATAATAAAAATAACAATAAAAATATAAATTTAAAATGTTAAAGTACAGTTTTTTTGTTTTGTTTTAAAATAGCTATGAGTTTTTGAATAAGATTTAAATAAGATATATAAGTAGTTGCAAATTTTTTTAAAATATTTGATCACTGCTAAATGCAGTTTAGAATGATGTGGTTTGCAGTTCATTTAATATTACATTGTACTGTATGTTTTATTTTTCTAGTTTTATCTGATTATCTATTAATTTGAATTAAAATATTAAAGTTTAAATCATAATTTTTAGTAATTAAAATAATAAAATTTATTTAATTTTAAAATGAGATTTTTTATCATTTCAAAGTCAATACATAATATATATATATATATATATATATATATATATATATATATATATATATATATATATATATATATATATATATATATATATATATATATATATATATATATATATATATATATATATATATATATATATATATATATATGTATTAATAAAATTTAAATTGAAGGAGTCAGGTACAGATCAAAAATTTTATCCATCAGAATCAGAAAAGAGTGACTCAGAAGATGAAAACAATACTTCAAAAAATTTTTCTATGGATCCTGATCATCGATTGTTATTGAAATCATGTCAACCATTATTACTTAGTAGAAATTCAGCAGTGAGCTATTTCAATTTTTTTTTAATATAATTGAGGTACTTTGTTTAAATTTCTTTAATTATTATTTTTTTTCATACAGGTAATTATGGCAGTAGCAAAATTATACCACCATATTGCACCGTCGTCTGAGGTTGGGCTGGTTGTTAAAGCATTGATTAGGTTGCTTCGAAGCCACAGGTTTATAAATTATATTAAATTTGTCTAACTAAAATGTTTTTAATAATGAATTAAGTATGATTATTTATAATATGGAATTATTAAATTTATGAGTTTTATCTATGTGTAGAGAAGTTCAAACTGTTGTTCTGAGCAATATTGTAACACTCTCTCTTCAAAGAAAGGTAGTATTAAAATACATATATGCATAATATATCTATATCTAATTAGCATGTATACATACATAACATACATAACATAACAGCAGATGTGTAGCATATAACATATAACAAATGTAACAAATGTGGTTAAATTAAAGTTTATTAAAATATTTAACAAGTTTCTTAAAAAACTTTTTTAAAAAAACAAAAGTTTACATGTGGTTTCTTTTACTATAATTAGTTGATGTTGTGGTAAATACTAATAAAATTAAAGACTAGACAAAAGTCTTATGGTCAGACAAACCTTGATTTTTTCCTGCACTCAGATAAAAAAAAATCAGTAAATAAAAATAATGGAGGACATACTCTTCAAAATTGATACATTTAAATAATCATTTAAATGTATCAATTTTTCTGTTTATTTAAATATAATAATTTTTACTGTTCACTTTTTTTTGCTCAGCAGTGTGTGCACTTATATATATACATATATATATATATATATATATATATATATATATATATATATATATATATATATATATATATATATATATATATATATATATATATATATATATATATATACAGTAGCATCCAAAAGTTTGCAGACAGGCAAAAAAATAAAGAATTTTAATTATATTTCAGCACATACTTTACCAAAGCCAACATATTATATACCAATTAAAAGGTTTTCAAATTTACAATTAGGTTTTGAACAAATAATTATTATCTAAATAATATTTTTAAATTGGTATACAAATCAACGGTCTTTGATAAGTTCAAAAATTTGCGGACAAAGCATTATTTTTTAAAATAGTTAAAATATTTCAACAATATTTGATCAAAATTTTTGCAAAAGCAAAATCACAGTATTTTGTAGGATATCCTTTACAATCAAGAATAGCTTGGCATCTATGAGGCATAGAGTCAACTAAATTAATGCAAACGTCAATGGGAATTAAGTCCCATAATTCTTTGATTTTATTAAATAAATCACCATAATTTGTAGGCTTAATTCCTTTCATTTGACGGTCAACATGTTCCCATAGATGTTCAATGGGATTTAAGTCAGGTGGTTGGGATGGCCACTTCAAAACATTAACTTTACTCTCTTTAAAAAACTCTAAAACCGATTTAGCTGTATGTTTGGGATCGTTATCCTGTTGGTAAATCCATCCTCGAGGCATTTTATCCTTTGCATATGGTAACATAATAGTTTTACATATATCTTTGTACTTTTCTTGATTCATATTCTCGGTAATCCTATGGAGAGGACCAACTCCATTTCGGCTAAAACATCCCCAAACCATTACATTACCTCCTCCATGTTTTACGGTAGGCAGTTGGTGTTTAGGATTGTACCTAGTACCTACTGGACGTCGAACATACCTGATTCCATCGGATCCAAACAGAATAAATTTGCTTTCGTCACTAAAAAGAATTTTTGATCATTTTTGACTACTCCACTTTAGATGTTTTGATGCAAATTCCATTCGGGCGTTACGGTTTTTCAAGGAAACTAATGGTTTTTTAGCTGGGCGTCTTCCAAACAAATTAGCGTGACGTAAACGACGTTTTATAGTAGAAATACTACAATTCATTCCATAGAAACGTCTCATTTATACGTTTAAATCGACAGCTGTCAAACTGGGATTTTCTTTGCTTAGTATTACAAGCTTTTTATCCTGATAACGCGTTGTTTTGCGTGGCCTTCCTGATTGATTTTTATTCTTTGTAGATCTAATAAGCTCAATTTGTCTTCATAATTTGTCCAACAGCAGACTTACCAACTCCATAAAGCTGTGCTGTTTTACGAAACGAGTTTCCATTCTGAACTGATCTCAAGATCAATTTTTTTGAAATACATTTCTTAGATCCCATGATCTCAATCACTTATATATAAAGTTTTGAAATTATTTCCACAAAGTATTTGTTTATAAAATCAACAAATTAGCTATTTTGTGGTGAAAATGTTAAAAGCGTTAGTTTGTACGCAAACTTTTGAACTTATCAAAAATCGCCATTTTGTTAACCAATTTTAAAATGATAATTAAATATTCATTATTTGCTCAAAACATAATTGTTAACTTGGAAACCTTTTAATTGGTATATAATATGCTGGCTTTAGTGAAATATGTGCTGAAATTTAAGTAAAATTCCTTATTTTTTTTCCTGTCCGCAAACTTTTGGACGCTACTTGCGTTGAAAAATGCTTGTGAAACAGCAGTTTGAAAAAAAGTCTTTTTTTTAAAAACATTTGAGTGAATTGATAACCTTTCTGTGATATAGCTCTATAATTGCAAAAGTTAATGTCGTAGTTATATACTTATATATACTTTTGTAATATGGGTTGTCTAAAGACTGCTGGTAGAAGCCACTAAATTAGCTCTTCCACTTATATATCTTTGCAAAATAAAAATAACAATAAAAAATCTAGTCAAAAGTTAATTTTTGAAGCATTTGCTCTTAAATGAACTGCAGAGCAAATTCATAAAGAGGTAGATCAGCAGTTGATTCCTAAAATAAAAACAAAAGTAAAACTGTTATCAGAAGTAAATACATCGAAAGCGTTATCCCTAATAACAATAAATTGTTAATAGATGGGTGTATGTACATGATGTGTTACCTATCTCAGCAAAAATGAGAAATTTCTATTTTTCTACTTATTCTGTAAAAGATCAAAGATGGTTATGTAGTATTTGCAAAGAAAATGAGGATATCGAGCAAGCGTGAAGAACAAAAGGTGCTAAGTATTCTTTCAATATTCAAAAAGGACATTTATGGTTATTACAATTCAAAAAGACACCAGGGCGCCACTGAAATTTGCTAATAGGTCAAATAAATACTTTCAACGAAAAGAACTGTATACAAACAGATGCTTGATGGCAGTTTGCAACACAGAATCTCAGGTAGAATTCACAGCGCAATTGAAATGTCATTAAAAAGTACTTTAAAAGTGTTTACCTTGTAATTTAAAAAAACTGGGCAGTCCGCAAAAACTTAAGTGATATGGTTGAACTTATTTGAGACCTTGGTGATGATGAGATTTACACATTCAATTATTTAGCAAATAAGCCACATTCACATCATCGGCTAGTGTTGATCAGTTTGTCAAAATAATAAGTGATAAATTAGGTGAGGAGCTTTGAACAAAAGTTTGCCCATGACTTGTGTTCTTGCTTATGAGACCAGCGGCATGCAGATAAGACTGTCCTTTATTTATTTATCATTTATTTGTAAGAAAGAGAACATGAGAGTGACCATGCATAAAATGGTTGACCATGCATAACATGGTTGTTAAACATTGAAATGCCTTTTTTTTTTTTCAAAAATACAATTTTTTTTAGCTGTGTTTTGATTATTTTAAAATTTTATATTTTCTCTTTCTTTACAATTGTTTGTTCATTATTTTCAAATATATTTACAAAAAGTTATAATTGTAATTAGCAAAAATCTTTTAACTGAAGAAAACAATAACTTTAACTGATCAATGCTTAAAAAAATTAACATTGTAAAATTTGCTTGATATTTCAGGATTGTTTTTTTGTTTTTTAGTAGTTTGCATAATATATTATTTTTTAAGAGAAAAGTACATTGCAAAGATGGTCCTTATTTTTTTAAGTATATTTAAAAACAAAAATCTTTTTTACTTTTTTTTATTCTGTAAAAACAAAAACAATAAAAATGTAAAAAAAAAAAGAAGAAGTTTAGTATCCATGGTCGTTAAACATCATTAAAACATTGGCTAATGGTATTATTCAAAAACTGAAACTTTAAGCATCTGAAAAAGCAGTTTGCATATGGTTGCAACCTTCAGGACTTCTAAGCTTGCAGCCAATCAAATTGAACCAAAAAAGTGGCCAGCTTACTTACCTGAACTCAATCCTATTGAAAATTTATGGCATCAAGATTGAAAATACAAAGAGTTTTTCAAAAATACTGATTAGCTGTATAAAGCTGTGGAAGGAATTACAAAAGAAAAGTATGATAAACTCATAGAGTCTATGTTGAAAAGATGTGTCATTATCCTAAAAAGTAAAGAATTTGCAATTAATTTTTTTTTATTAGTTATAAAAGACCACATTTTTTCATTAAAATAGCAATACATGCAAAACAACACATTTATTCATTTCGGGTAGTCATTATGCACAAATCTTTTCTTTATATATAATATTAACAGTTTGAAACTGTTAAAACAGTTTTTTTAGAAAAATACTGTATGCTGCAATTGAAGTTAAAAAAATAGAGTTTTTTATTTGGTTGTTTATGTTTAGGAAGACACTGTATATAAATCTAAATAGTCTGTTACACAAACAATTCCCAATTGTAGATATCAAGCCAATTATTTATAAATTTTCTGAAAAGTTATTTGGAATGAAAATCCAAGTTCAAAAAATAAATTTTAAAAATAGTTACAAAAATTTATAAAAAAATACTCAATCAAAAATAAAACATTGTTTATAAAACATTTTAAAAATTTAACTAAACCACGCTTATTGTAAACAATAAGTAAACAATAAATCTTTTATTATAAATCTGCATATTAATATGTTAAAATTATTGAAAGAAAATTAAAGGAAATAAGTGCAACTTTTTTTATTGTTGTGTTTACATTTAACATATTTTTAATATACTCAATGTATGTATAGCTTTAAATTCTTTGTAAATAATTTTCCTTGCCATTTTTAGCATATTATTTTTTCTAAAAGGTATTCATACCAATAATAATAAGAAAGGACTAGGACTTTTTAATATTATTAGTTATTAGCCAGTAACTTTATATTAATTTCCAATGTATTCTTCTAAACCTTTTTCAAATATAAAAATTGATGTAGATAGTACGATGGATGGAGGACGACAATTCTATATGCTTGATATTCTGTTAAGAAAAAAATTTTCTCTTAATGGAAAGTATTCTTTTATTAGTTACTTTTCAAACCAAAAAAGATTTCTTCTGTATGCAGTTTAATTTCTGAACTTCTGAGACTTTATCATAATTTTTGACCTGAATGTACACCATTTAACTAGTATAAAACTGTAAACAATTTAGAAACACTGGGTTAATTATCTTTTTAACCTGAAAGTTTCTAGCTTAGTAATGTTCAACTTTTTCAAAAACTTAAATACCATATTTATTAAGATTCCAGTTGGTTTTTGTGTATTTGTGAAGAGGTCAAACAAAGGCTTTTATTTGTTTTTGAAAAACTGTTTGGATGTTATTTGAAAAAAAAAAGTGAACAAAAGTTGTTTATACTTTCTTTAGGGTTTATTTGATCAACATTTAAAGTCTTTTTTTGTACACACTAGCGATCCTACACATATAAAGAAGTTAAAGGTAAAATCTTATTAAAGTTTTTTTTTGTTTTCTATTTTAATTTTTTTTTCATTTTGAAAAATAGTTTTTTTTTCCATTTTTACCTCTAAATTAATTATTCTAAAATTATAAATATAAGTTTTTTTTAGCTTGAAATATTAACCAATTTAGCTAATGAATCAAGCATTCCCACCATTTTACGAGAATTTCAGGTAAATGAAATAAAACATAATAATATAATAGTATATGTATATGTGTGTGTGTGTGTGTCTGTGTATGTGTGTGTGTATATATATATATATATATATATATATATATATATATATATATATATATATATATATATATATATATATATATATATATATATATATATATATATGTGTGTGTGTGTATATATATATATATATGGGCAATTCCAACTTTATCAAATATTTGCCTATTAAAACTGTAAATTAAATTTTTAGCTATTTTAAAACTGTTAGAATAAAATAAACTAAAATTTTTTGAGTCTGGAAAAAAGTGAACTTATTACTAAAAATGCCACTTAACTTGCATTATGCAGAACTTACTTAACTTAACTTACATTATGCAAAAAATTGTTTCAGCTTTTAGGTCAAATTTCTGAAAATCAGTAAAGCAGATTGTATTGGAAATTTTCACAAGATGTTGAGAATTCTATATCAATAAAAAATAATATTAAAAAATCCATCAGAGGTGACTGGCTAAGGAAAAAAAATGTTTTTTTATACTATATATTTAACTTACGTTACATCACTTACGCGAAAACAGTTTTTTCCCGCAAGTTCTAGAGCAACTTTAAAAAATTACTTTAGTCAACTTTATTATTACTTAAGTCATTTAAATAAGAAAATCCTTTAGCTTCTTATGTTTATGCGTATCGCTTTATTTTCATTGGGTTTAATTTTTAAAAATGCTGCAAAGTATTTACATTTAACTCTTTTAAAATATTTTTGGTGTAAAAACTGCTATTACAGTTTATGAGGGAGAGGGGATGAAGGTATATGTAATTGTTTGTGACAGGAGGGAAGGGGTTAAAAATTGATAAATATAGGGTGAGTTACTTTATGGACGACCCCCTTAATTGCATTTACAAACAATTTGTTTGCTAAAAAAAAAATATTAATCAAATATGAATTACATAAAAAGGTAATTTTTTATTTTGTATGCTGCAAAAACTTTACAAAAAAGTGCCAGAACTTTAGTAAACACATGTAGTTTTAACTTAGTTACACAAATTTAAAATTAAAATGTGTTTTAACTAAACATCATTATTCAAAACTTAAAATGTAAAAGTGTAACAATTCATTTTCTTTTTTAACAAAATTTTAGAAAAAAGTTTTTTAACAAAATTTTAGAAAAAAACAGAACTTTACATTGCTTTTATATAAAAATTGAACAACAACAAATTAAACATGTTAGCTCCATTTTGGCACAAAATTAATTTGGATTATGCAAATAAGTTTATGGTTAAAATAACATTTTACAATGATCCTTTTTTTAATGAAGCGACAACAAGTAAAACCATAACTTTCGAAAGCATTACTTAAGTAAATTAATTTTAGCACCAAAGATATATTTTAGATAATTTTTTTTGTGTTTACATCAATATTCATTTGCTAAAAGTTGACAAAAACAGAATGAAATTTGACTACTTTTTAATTGTCCACCATGGAATTCCCCACATATATATATATATATATATATATATATATATATATATATATATATATATATATATATATATATATATATATATATATATATATATGTATATATGTATATATATATATATATATATATATATATATATATATATATATATATATATATATATATATTTATATAGTGATTATGTTTAAAATTTATTTCATTATGTTGTAAAATTTTTCGTGTTTATTAGGATGGTTGTTAAGTTTCATTTTTACTGTTAATTATGTTTGCGGTTTTACTTTGAATTTACTTTATTATTATTATTATTATTATTATTATTATTATTATTATTATTATTATTATTATTATTATTATTATTACTATTATTATGTTGAAGTTCTGAAGCTTTTATAATTATAGTAAAATATTTATAGTAAAATAGTTTTTTAAGACTTATATAATAGACTATTGGTAGCATATGCTTCTTAAATCATAATGAAAAAAGTATAATTAGGTAATTATTGCATAAGTTTTTGTATAACCTTTACTATTTGCAGTAACAGAATGTGTTGGTTGTTCAAATTATTTTTTGAAGCAAAAAAAGATAGTTAAAAATAGTCTAATTAAAATATTCATCATTTTATTTTGAATTTTTATACCTATAAAAACATGTGTTTTTTTTTTTTTTAAGTTTAGCTTATTTTTTTAAAAATAGTTTGCATGAAGCAACAAATGTACAATAAAAATATATATTATTAAAAATCAATTTCATTGTTTTAGAAAAGTTTGGCAAAAAAAAAAGGGTGACTTAAATGGTGTCAATAGAAATTAATTGGCTCTTAGGCTTTACATGCATGAGAGACTATTATCATGCAATATGATTATATATGCAATTTAGTTTATGAAAATAAGTTTTACTTGAAAAACTTTGATTTCATGGGCTATAATTTTATTGGAGGCAATTAAGTTTTGACAAATAGTCCATGTTCGTTTTTTCACAGGTGATTCACTGGTTTTAATTTAGTCTTGCCAAATCATGTAATAAATAAATTATTATAACAAGATAATTATTTTTAAAGTTAGTATTGGTATGTACTATGTAGTATATATAGTTATTATGTTATAATATGTAAAATAACAAAATTAACATTTTATGTAGTTTTTAATAATTTGTTTTACTGTTATATGATATCATTTTATTTTTATTTTTTGCAGACATATATTGCAAGTTCTGATAAAGAGTTTGCTGCTGCAACTATCCAATCTATTGGTAGATGTGCGTCAAATATTCCTGAAATAGCTGATACATGTCTTGCTGGACTTATAAGAATGCTTTCTAATCGTGATGAAAATGTTGTGAGTGAGAGCATAATTGTTATTAAAAAACTATTGCAAATGAGACATAAAGATCATAGTGAAGTTATACCTCACATGGCAAAGCTTCTTGATAAAGTTCATATGCCCATGGCTCGAGCCAGCATATTGTGGCTGATTGGTGAGTATTCTGATCGTATACCTAAAATTGCTCCTGATGTTTTGCGAAAAATGGCAAAGTCTTTTGCATCAGAGGTAATAAAATTGTTTTTTTTTCAAATTATTTTTATAATTATTATTATAATTATTATTTTATAACTTTTTTTTCATTTTACATTGTAAAAAGTCTAAAACCTATGAATTTTAATTTCAACATAGAAAATAAAATGTTAAGGGTGGCAAGTGGCTGCTCAATTTCTCTATCAGACACCAATAATAGTTATTTCATATGGGTTAAAAAATTAAAAATTGTTTTCTGGTAACAATATAAAAATTTATTTTAACTAAATTTAATAGTTTTAAAGTTACACTGACCTTACTTATGATTTTGCTCTTTATTTTAGATGTAGTTACAAATAATTGGATTATTAAAAAAAAATTATAAAAAGTGATAATTATTAAAAATTATAAAAAAATTATAAAAATTGTAAAAAAATTATAAAAAATAAAATCATAAAATTGGAAAAAGTTATTTTAAAAAAAGAAAAAATTTTTGCTGCTTTTTTTTTAAAAAAGAAAAATTATTTTTATTTCTACTAGTTGTTTAATTTTATATTTTATATTATCTGCATAATTTTGCTTGACTGATGGTTATATAAAGATTAAATAAAAGATTTTTTAGGGTTTAATTGACATATTTGTCTTTGTCGACTTGATGTAGGAAATAAGTAAAAAATAATGTACCTCACAAAATAATGTACTTCACAAAATTTAGAAACTGCGTTCAAATCATTAATGTATGAACCCCATTGGACTCTTACTCTTAAATGTAAATTTCATAGTATGACAGAAAAACTGGAATATCTTTCAGTTTTTCGTGTAAAATATTTTTTTAAATATGTGGCAAGAGTTTTTGAGAAATTAATATTTATGATTTTTTAAGTTTTAAATGTTCACAAGCCAAAAAATTTATGCTTGTTATTTTATAGAACTAAAAAGATTCAGATTCAGGTGGCGAGAGAAAGAATATATAGATAGGAGAATGTTTATCTGAATATTTTTTATTAACATTAATAAAATATTTGTTAAAGGAGTTGCATATTCCAGATGAATTTGATAATATCAATAAATTTAGCTATTTTGTTAAATACATAATTCATTTAGTATTTAAATTATCCAATGACATATTTGGGTGCAATGCAATCAATTATGGTTTTTGATTTTTTTGAGTTATTAAACATTGATTATAGTTCTTTTGATTTATAGAAACATTTATCAATATGTAACATTGTTTATTTAAATAAATTAATATTAAATTAACTTTTTAATAAACAGTTAAATTTTTTAAAAATATTTATTTTTTTTGAAAATTAAAATAATGATTGATTATTTGAAATAATCAATCGTTATAAATGATTTGAAACTTTTATCATAGAAGGAATGTAATCATTTTAAATTTTTATGAGTTACAATATAATCATTTTAAGGTTTTATCATAGGAAGATGTTGTTAAACTCCAGATAATTAATCTTGGTGCCAAGCTTTATATAACAAATTCAAAACAGGTTTGTATGATTTATACATTTTTATTTTTTGTAATTAACATAGCATATATTTGTATTTTAATTAAAATAACCAGGCATACGGAGTTTCAAAAGTCACAAAAATATATATAGTGATTATGTTTATATTTATTATGGATTCCGGATTTGAAAGTCACAAAAAGATTACTTCTTCCAGTTTTTGGTATCCCGGAGCTTTAAAAATTTAAATTAGTTTATGAACTACTAATGGGAAAAAAATCAGAACTTTTAGGTCAGAGGAACAATGAGTTTTTTAACCCGCAGTCCTTAGATATAATGGTGGCAAGAACTCCAGGACTCTGGTTATAAAAACAGTAAGTTCCAAGTCATTAAATCTCATGAATATTTTTCTTATCGCAGGTCATAAGTCAACCAACATGTTTAGAGCTTCTGGAGACCCAGAAAAAATAGAGATATAAAGCCGGAGTACTTTTGGGACTCCGCATCCGCAGAACAATACCCTTACACCCTCACACTCTCTGGTTCTTTACCTCTCACCCTTAAGACCGCACGGGTCTTAAGGGTGAGAGGTATAAAACATATAAACCCTCATGCCCTTAAGACCACATAGGTGCGTAATTAAAACATAACACACACACTACCCAATATTTAAAACAAAGATCAGACCATCTAATATTTTAGGAAAAGTTTTTTTTTGATACTTGTAATTTGAAACATGTTTTGCAACTAATATTATAAACGTTTCATTTCAAAAAAGAACATACATGAACATGGAAAGAATATAGATTTCACATTATAAAACATATTTTATTACTTAGTATGGGCTTCTCAAACACTTAGAACAACCTCTAATTTTTTGAAATTAAAGCAACAAGAGACACAATATTCAGGCATTATATTATGGTACATTTTCTTAGAGCCATTTTTTGCCTAATTGCAAGTTGCATGAAATGCGTGAAAATATAAAACTTTTTCATTCAATACACATGAAACACATAGTTCTTCAAAATTTCCAAATAATTCATGAATTGACATTCTCACTTTGTTGTAAAATGGTCTAAACCAATTTTTCTGTTTGCAATGATTATGTCCCAAATCATAATTGCTGGACATTGTTTAATAGAAAGTGTATTGGGATTAAAGTTTGAGTTAGGTTGCCAGTAAACATTAAATTTTTGTGCTGCAAGCTGCTGTAAACTTGCTCTTTGTCTGAGAACATGACATGTTGACACATTTTAACAGTCCTTTTGTTTTATAGAAAATTAAAAGCAATCACAAAAGTTTAAAAAAAAAAAAAACTAGTTTTAATGCAGTACAGCACAAATGAAAATTTAGGTCCTTAGCAAGGTGTCTTTAAACTGTGCAACCTCTAACATTCAATTCAATAATTCTTTTTAGAATTTGTGAGTTAAAATTCTTTATGTCTTTCACAGCATAAAAGGCATATTTTGTTGGTTTTTTGAATTCTCAATCTTCCATTGGATTCCATTGAATCTTCCTGAATTGATGCCATCTGTTGACTCAATGTGCTGAATGATACCATAAACTAATTTTTGTAATTTTTTATTTTATTGCCACACATTTTGCACTTTTAAGTATGTCTATAATATATATATATATATATATATATATATATATATATATATATATATATATATATATATATATATATATATATATATATATATATATATATTTTAAATAAATAACAATTTTTTAAATGTTTATTTATTTGAAAATTATTACTAAATTAGTGCTACTTAGACCATTTGGATATATATATATATATATATATATATATATATATATATATATATATATATATATATATATATATATATATATGTTGATTAATAACAGTTATAGAAATTTATATAAAGAATAAAGTTTATAGATATTAGCTGCAGACTTTAAATCAAAAAAACAACATATAAATCTTAAGCTTGTTAAAAATCAAATGTTAGTTGAACATGGTTGTAAAATCTGTTTATTCTCAGAAATATCAAGTCGTTGTTTATAAATTTAACTAATTTTTAATAAGACTTCCATGAAATATTCATTATGTCAAGGAAAAAAACTAATATCCAAAATGAAAAAAAAGTTTAATAAAAAATGTTATTTTAAACTATTTTATAATTTGCACTTTTATATTAATATTTTCAATTTTTTTACTTTGTTAATTATAAATGGTTAATCAAATTATTTAAATTATTATAAATAATATTTATATTCTATATTTAGACTCGAACACTTTGTCAATATATTTTTCAACTTGGCAAGTACGATCAAAACTATGACATTCGTGACCGAACTCGATTTCTGAGATTCCTTTTGTTTCCAACTGATAAAACTGAGGTGAGTGATTCAGTTATGATCGATTTTTTTTTTAGTACATGTTATGGTTTAAATTTATATTCACCGAAAAAAAGAAATTCATACTTTTAAAAAATTCTGAAAATGATAGATGCTATCCACAAATGCATTCATGGATGAATACATTTTATAAGCATACGCAGCCCACAATGATTTTACATTAGTTAATTTATTTATTAGTAATTTTAGTATTAACATAACACTTGGTGTTACTGTTTTAATTTGATTTGAATAATATTGTAACTTTTTCATATTTTTTTATTAAAAAGTTTATTAATTTAGGGAGCTAACAATCTTAAGAAAAAAGCGAAAAAAATATTTTTAGTAGAAAAGCCAGCCCCCATATTGCAATCTTTGTTTAAAGGTTTGTTTAGTTTTGTAATAATTTTTGTTAAGTTATAAGAAAATGATATATTTAAAAATTTAATCAAAAATGCAATAGATCGTGGGCAGTACCAACTAAGTTCACTTTCTCATATGATTGATTCAATTGCAAATGGTTATCAAGAGTTACCAGAATTTCCAGATGTACAACCAGACCCTAGTGTGAGAAATGTAGAGGTACTTTTTTATTATTATTATTTTGTTTATATTATTTTTTATATATATTTATATAATTTAATGTGTTTATAATATATTATATTTGTTAATAACATGTATATAATATATTTTTAACATATAATTAATTGTTGATGTTTAACGATTATGTTAAACAACAAATTATTATATGTAAAATTATGTTTAAAATTATGTGTAAAATGTGATGATGATGATGATGATGATGATGATGATGATGATGATGATGATGATGATGATGATGATGATAATGATAATGATTATGACGATGACAATGATGATGATGATGATGATGATGATGATGATGATGATGATGATGATGATGATGATGATGATGATGATGATGATGATGGTGATGATGATGATGATGATGATGATGATGATGATGATGATGATGATGGCGATGATGATGATGATGATGATGATGATGATGATGATGATGATGATGATGATGATGATGATGATGATGATGATGATGATGATGATGATGAACAATTTGTTTGATACTTTGGTACATTTTTGTACATTAACAGATGGAAACAGTTTATGGAAATCAGTTTCTTTTATCTAAAGAAAAAATGGTTTCACCTTCTACAAAAGAAAAAGATAAAGATTTTTACACATCTGAAGAAGATGAAGAGGATGAAGAAGAAGATGAGAGTGGCGAAGACAGCAGTTCTGAAGAAGATAATAAAAATCATGAGAAAGAAACCTCATCAGAGTCTAATGATGAAAAGGAGGATTCAGGGGAAGGTGAAGATTTTTTTTTAATTAAAATGTTTTTAAATGTTTCTTTTTTATGTAAATATACTTTTTTATGTAATATTGACCCATAAAATAATAATAATATCTTATAATGCAAGCTAAATGTTTAAATTCCTAAAAAAAAGTCAGAAACAATTTTATAGTAAAAAGGTTATTGTATATAAATTTAATATATAAAAAAAGGAATGTAATTAATGACATCATAATAAAATTACTTACTCCTAATATTATTATTAATGATATCAATGTTCACATTGATATCATTAATATTTCACACCCAACACAAATCTCAAGAGTTCAACAATTACTTTACTAACCTTGTTCTAAATTTAGCTAGTAAAATTGTACCTTCAGTTTATTCATTTAAAAACTATTTTTCTTCTAATAATGGTTTGGTGGAATGACTTTGCAAAAGTTAAAATGTCGCAATAAGTGATTGTCACATTTTTTGATTGTCAAAAATTAGAATAAAGAATAATGTTGCAAATGAGTTTAACGAATATTGACAAAAACAAAATAAAGGGATAGTGTTGCAAATAAATTTAATAAATTGAAAATAAAGTAGAGGAAGTAGTATTGCAGATGAGTTTAATGAATAGTTTTAAAATAAACTAACACATTGACTTAGTAAGCAGAACTTTCTAAGTAGGTGTACATCTTCATAAGTAAGTGTACATCTTTATAAGTAAGTGTACATAGAACTTTATAAGTAGGTGTACATGTAAATCTTTTTTTTTATCTTTTCATCTTTTTTTTCATCTTTTTTTTCAATCTTTTTCATCTTTTCATCAATAATATTATTTATTAAGTAAACATGGACACAATATTCCTTTTTTACTATTTGTAACACTATTTACTTTTCTATTTACTATTCCTTTTAATATATTCAATATATTATATATTACACACTATTATGAAACACCACAATGTATTATGTGATTAACAGTAAAAGAAATTGAAGATGCTTTCTCATCTTTAAAAATAAATAAGCCTTTAGATTTTGATAGAATATTAAGCAACATAGTTGCTTGAAACAAAAACATCAGCAAACCTGTCCTTAATATTTTAAAACTTTCAATAAATGAATGCATATTTCTTGATACATTAAAAGTTAAAGTTTATATTTTATTGAGTTAAAAACTTAAATTAAAGACTTTGTGTGAAGTATGTTGATGATACTAATTATGTCCAATATTGATATTAATCAGCTATATGAAGATATGAATGTTGAGCTTATTTAAGTAAATAAATTGTTCAAAGCTAATAAGCTTTTAATGAATATAGATAAAGCTCAATATACATTATTCTAACTGATAATTGGACTTGACTTTGATTATAAGTGTGATGCTGAACATGTAAGATGGAGCTTAAAAAATAATTTAATTTTTTATTTTTTAATGTCTTACCCCCTAATCTGTTCCTTGTAATATAGAAACACTCTATAAAAAGTTTGAGCAATAAATTCTTAAGTTCAGGGGCAGGCCAAGTGCCTCAAATGTTACACAAACTATAAAAATTCAACAAATTATTAGTATATATTTATTTATTTTCCACAACAGTAATTATTATTAACACATTAATAGTGAATCATTTGTTCAATTTCTGACAGTGTTCATATCACTATGATTGGTTGAAATTTGGGTGATTTTAAATAGTTTCCTTAAAAACTACTAAATTAATTGTAATGATTTTTTTTGTATTATGCTGTTTACATAATTGCTTTTTATTTTAACAAAAGTAAATTATAATTTAACTTTATGGCGTGCAAGTAATTTTATTTTTTGTAAAGTATCTGCCATCATCTTCACAATTTACTTTGCATCTTTGCACTTTTGTCTCTTTTCCTCAATATTTCATTTACAATTGCCCAGTAAGATTCAGTAATACGTTGATCAGGAGAGTTTGGCGGATTAGCATCCTTTGAAACAAAATCAACCCTATTTTCCTTATACCATGGCATTACTTTTTTGAAAAAGTGAATCCATGCCAAATCTAGCTAAAATAAGGTTAGTTGTTTGTGCTTTTTAATTAGAGGAAGAAGTTGTTTTTTCAAGCATTTAGTCTCATATATTTCTTATGTGAAAGGTTGATTTGTTATGAAAAGAGAGTTTTTAAAACCACAAATGCTAATAATTTGCCACATAACGAACTTAGGAGAGATTTTTTTAAGTCAAATGTTCATAAATTTGTCAGAAGCTTTATAACTTTTGACTAATAAAAGTAATGATTACCTGGAAGCATCTAGTGATCTTTTTTACAGTAAGTTTCATCGTCTTTAAAGGGACTACCAAGTCCCGAGACATGTTGTGTTCATATTAAAAAGAATGTTAAAAAAAAATGTCTGAGCAAATTTTTTTTGATTAAAACTAATTAATAAATGTGTACGAAAAACAGATCTTGTTGTTTAAGTCGAAGCTCATCTTCTCCATTTTCTGCGGCATTTTGAGTATGTAAAATAAACAGACTTGATAATTTATTATTAAGTCTGTTTATTTTACAGACTTGATTCTGTTTATTTTACAGAATTGAATTATACAGACTTGATAATTTATTCAAGCGCATTTAATTCATAGGAGTTTTAGTGCATGATGTCATAGTTTTTATTTTGTTTAAAACACTGATTGTTTTTTTTTTACATACAATTTCCAAATCATATTCATTTTTATTATATTTTAAAGTTCTAAAATGTGTTCGTAAAACAAAATTAAAAACAAAATAGTATTTTATTTGCGTAACTTTTTTTTAAATAATCGTCTAGACAACATGTATTTTGATTTCTTTTGTTATAAGTTTTTTCTTTCAAATTATTAGATAAAATAATTTTTAACCTAAATAATAATGCACTTTTATTAATTTACTTTGTAAATATTAAAAAAAAAAATTTTCTATGATTTACATCCAATATATATTATGGCGGGGGCTTAAAAATTAAAATTTTACAGACATAAATGGAAACATAATTAACTTGAATGTTCTTAAAACATCTTGCGGAAGAATGAAAAGAATATTTGCGAACACTAAAAACCTGCCAAATTTGTGAACAAACTAATTCTATTGGTTCAAAAAACACTCTGACTAAGCGAAATAAAGTTCTAGAGTATTCTGTTGAAATGTTATAGGAATTGTATTATTTATGAATAGTTGCGTTTTAAGATATCTTGCATAAATTTTTTTAAGAATATATTATCAAATGAACTATTACTTTAATATTATGGCTCATTCTCGGAGCCACATCTGTAAATCTTTTTTTCTCGGAGCCACATCTTTTAAACTATTATCATTTGTTTACAAAAATAAATGTTTTATAATATATATTTTTTAAATTGTCAAAATTTTGAAAGTTAATTACAAATTATATATTTTATTAGTATATTCTTAATTTTTATATCTTTTCTTAGTGCTTGGTTTAATTAATTGTTCGTTAGATTTTTAAAAAACTAACGAACAATTAATAAAATAAACTTAATAAAATAAGTAACTATAGTTAGTTATTTTAGTAAAATTTAATAGTAAAATTTTTAAAGAATTTCTAGAATGTTTCCAATGACTTCATGCTCTAAAACCCTTATGAATTAAGCGCGCTTGAATAAATTATCAAGTCTGTATAATGCACCTGGAAAATTGCGTTTATTTTACATACTCAAAATACTGCAGAAAATGGAGAAGACGAGCTTCCCTAAAACAACAAGATTTGTTTTTCTTGGTACGCATTTATTAATTAGTTTTAATCAAAAAAAATTTGCTCAGACGTTTTTTTTTAACATTCTCTTTAATATGAACACAACATGTCTGGGACTTGGTAGTCCCTTTAAAAATGTCTAAAAGATTTTTCTTAATTAATTTTTAAAAGTTTTTAGCTTGTCTAATTGCTTTGATTTCCCCATTAAATGACCTATTTGTTACTTTTTTCTTGTAATATGCTTTCAGATTTTTCTTTTTGAACACTCTTTAAATTATTCCTTTAATTTTGATCGAAAGATCTACTGCATGTAAACTTTGTAGCTAAATCTTATTGTGAGTCGGATTTGAATGAATTAAATCGACTATTAATTCTGCTTACTTTTTGGAAATAAATCTTGATTTTCAAACAACTTCTTGAGTTTTGTTTTACTTATAAAGTTTTATAACAATTCCAACAGTTGATTTTGTAATTTTACATGCTCATGTGATTTGAAATTATGGAATATGAGAACGACAGATTTTTTATGTAAAATTTCAAAAACAAATTTAAAATTTCAGGCTCTTTATTTGACTTTTTTTTTTTTTTTAATTACCTTTGCTTCCAACAAGGTTGCAAGCAACCACTAATTAGTGTTGGAAGTTACTGGAAGAGAAAAGATGAAGATTGTAGAGCGAGATAACGATTGACAGACGAGTTAAAAGATTGCAAATTATATGAATCAGGAAAGCAAGATGAAGGAAGCGAGTTCCAAAGAACTGATGTTCGAGGAAAAAAACTAGACGAATAAGAGTTTTTGGAGCACTTAGGAACAGTAACAGAAAAAGGATGAGACTTAATTAAATGACGAGTAACACGAGAATGAATTTTAGTAGATGGCACAAGAGACACTAGCTCTTTCGAGCAGTGCACATTATAGTATTTGTAGAAAAGAGAAAGAGAAGCAACATTACGACGATGTGACAGAGGTTGAAAGTTGGCTGGAAGAGCAGGTCCAACTATGTTTACAATGCGTTTTTGCACCTTCATAATAACCGTTCATAAATATAGGAAGGTCTAAATTATTGCGATAACGATTGGCCGAAAAAAATTGAGTCTTATCTGAATTAAAGTTCACCAGCCACTGTGAGCCCCATGCTGTAGCAGAAGTGAAATCCTTTTCAAGCTCAGATGCCCCCTGCAAGCAATCAGAGGGATTCTTATCGTGACAAGAATAAATGATAGTATCATCAGCGAACAATGCCACCTTAGATGTGAGAATATCTAGAAGATCGTTACTGTAAATTAAAAAGAGTATAGGGTCAAGGAT